TGAACCGGTCCGAATCCCTCTTTGAAGGTGAGAGGGTCGGTATATAAAACCTCGAAATAAATAAATAAATAGCTCTCCCTGGCTTTGTCTCCAAACTCTCCAAACGTGGTGGCCTTCGGGGTTTGTTTGAGTTGGCTTGGGAAACCTAGTCTTGACCACTTTGCCCCAAAACCTCCATCTCCTGGACTTGCCTCTGGTCCTCTTTGCTTCCAACTTTTGGGAGCCTGGCAGAAGGCCGCCAAGCCAGGGAAAAGGGGCAGAAGTGACCCTGATGTGATCGGAGGGGATAATTCCCAGCCTTGACAGATGGGCACATCACAACACCCGCTCCCCCTTTCATGTAAGGCGATCTCGGTGAAAGTGGATTATGGAGCTATCCCATTGCATTGCCCTTGGGATGGGATTAGAGGCTGCACACAGATAGGGAAGGGAAGGCGGGGAGAGCAGGAATGGGTTGTTTTGGCTGTTTTCATCAGTCTGGTTTTGGAAATATTGAGGTGAATGTCAGCAGGTTCGGTCCTGGTGTGGTGAAAAAAGAATAAGAACTCTGGAGAGGAAGTTGTTGTTGTTGTTGTTTCGTTGCTACTTCCTAACTGCAATTTTGCTACTGTTATGAATCGTAATGTAAATATCTGATATGCAGGATGTATTTTCATTCACTGGACCAAATTTGGCACAAATACCTGCTACGCCCAAATTTGAATACTGGTGGGTTGGGGATGATTAAATCTGAAATTAAATCCAGACAAGACAGAGGTACTCCTGGTCAGTCGCAAGGCCGAACAGGGCATAGGGTTACAGCCTGTGCTGGACGGGGTCGCACTCCCCTTGAAGGCGCAGGTTCGCAGCTTGGGTGTGACTCTGGATTCATCTTTGAGCCTGGATCTCCAAGTTTCAGGGGTGACCAGGGGAGCATTTGCACAGCTTAGGCTCGTGCGCCAGCTGCGCCCGTACCTTGGGAAGTCTGACTTGGCCACGGTGGTACACGCTCTGGTCACATCCCGCCTTGACTACTGCAACGCTCTCTACGTGGGGCTGCCCTTGAAGACGGCCCGGAAGCTTCAGCTAGTCCAGCGAGCGGCAACCATGTTACTAACGGGAGCAGGACGCAGGGAGCATACAGCGCCCTTGTTGTCCCAGCTCCACTGGCTGCCGATCTGCTACCGGGCCCAATTTCCTCATCAAGCTTGTTATTACAGTAAAACATTTATATCAGAACACATATCCAGCATTAATAAAGACATACAATTACACAAGTATTCTTGACATATTAATTCCTGTCTACTAGACTATTCTAGCACTTCCTAGTTTTTATTTAATTTCAAAATAACCACCTATCTGTTATACAATAATTAAACAGATGGTAAAACACCCACTCACCAATATAACCAATTTGTCTTTATCTTTCAAAACGAGGTGATTTCATCTAGCAGTTTATCAGATTTGATGAAGGCATTTAACTAGTCCCAGACTAACTGACAATGACAATGACAATCGGAACGAAATACGGATTATGAGACTGGTAGATCCCTATGTGGTGACGGTGCGGATTAGTTTAGTGTAATTTAGATTAAGCGTGTTATATGGTTTGTTGATATACTCTGTGTTTTTTGTAAACTGTTTTTATATGTTGTACACCGCCGCGAGTCGCCCTAGGGCTGAGAGCGGCGGTCAACAAATGCATTAAATAAATAAATAAATAAATAAATAAATAATTTATTTTATATTGACTGTTTTTTTTTCCCAAGTCAAACTGTGACAGCAAAGAGGTACTTTCTCAGTTGAGTAAATTAAAACTGGTTGTTCAGACACAGTAGTGCAAGCATTAGCTGTAAACAATAGTTACCCTGACTGTCATAATATTGCTTTATAGTGTAAGCCTAACAATACTTTAGGAAGGATTTGTTTTATCATGTATGCATGGGAAAACAAATTAATAAAAGCTTAGCTATGCTACAGCAACAATCCTTTGGTTCCCCCTCCCTGCTTTTCTCCAAATTTGTTGGCTCTAATTGAAAGACTTAGAACTTCATTATTTGGACAAACCTGTTTCCTGTCAGTTTTTAAAAAAGTTTTGGCTCCAACCCGTCAGTTCCAATTATCAGCACCGCATTTAATTATAGCACTAAACCTGCTAAATTCCCAATTATAAATTTTCACTTGCGTTTATTTCTTGTTTTGTGTGCTTACATAATTCGAAAAAAAGGATGGTTCTTTATACTCTGCTGATTTCTGTTTCCATGAGAAAACTGGCTATGAATGCAAGTTTTGTCCAGAGCCAAGCATAGTTGGGAATATTGTTCCTGAGGCTGTGAATGGCATGTGGCTTTGTTTTGTATTGGCATTGGCAGGTGGGATGTGTACATGGGGAGAGCTGGGGAGATCATTTGGGAGTATGAAATGGATGAGAGAAAGCTCTTGAACAAATCTGCACTGTCTGAGGCTTATTGAGCAGGGAAGGGAAGGAGGAGAAAATCTTGCCACAAGCCACAGCAGGACTGAACATTTCTTGCCAGCCTCCAGCATTGTTTGCTGGATCTTTCCTGGAAGGTGAAGACGAGCCCAGGGCTGAGGGTTTAGTCAATCAGACAAGAGGCTTCTTAAAAGTTATTATTGCTATATTTGATTGTTAAAATAGTACATGCATGAGAAGACAATTATTTTGATCCCGTAGTTTAACCTAGCTTTTGTGTCACTAGTTTTCTCATTGGACTTCACCAGATGCAGTGCAGAAAGCTGGGAGGGACAGGGAGGTGGTTTGTGTGTTGGACTCTGAAGACCAGGATTTGAATCTCCACTTAATTATGGAAATCCACTGGATGACTTTGTGTGACTCACATTCTCTCAGTTCCAAAGAAAAGCAATGGCAAACCTCCCCTGAAGGAATCCTGTCAAGAAAACCCTCTGATAGGTTTCCACAAGTTGAAAATGACTTGAAGGCACACAGCAACAACTGTATTTGTCAGTTTTTCTATCTACTCTACCTCAGTGATTTAAAATGTTTTTAAAGTGTGCAGCTCCCAAAAAATGGAAAGCATTTGATGGCAAAATCACAGAGATGGACACCCAGTTCACACTGCGTGCCAGGGAACTGCTTGAGATCTATCGCAGCATTAGTATGAAAGATCTTCCTGAAGATGAGCGTATCGATGTGCTGCTAACACTGAAGCATACAGTGAAGGTATGTTTATCTCAAACTATTACAAAAACCCTATTGAGATCAACAAGTACTGAAAGGACCAAAAAGGTATCTGCATTCAAGTGTCTGTGTTAGCATGATGCAGTATATACTGATTCTTTACATTGTAGAAGAAATTAATACTGCTTTCCATAGCACATTTGAGATGTGCTAGTGTAAACGCATGCTGTTTGATGGTAGACTTGCACAATCAGACTGTATTTTTCTTTTATTTCTTTGTTTTAAAACTGAGCATGAGAAATAACCAACCATACATTAGCAATTGTTTGAGTAGTATTTTACAACTAAATTTTAGGTTGGGGAACCTCAGTGTTGATAAAGACTTTGATGTGGAGTTCTTTGTTTTCTCAATACTTATTGTTTGCATTGGGAGACAATGCAAACAATAAGTATTGAGAAAAAAATACTGCATTGGGAGTCAGGAGACCCCAGTGGTGCAATGGATTAAACCCTTGTGCCAGCAGGACTGAAGACCAACAAGTTGGAGGTTTGAATCTGGGGAGAGCACAGATGGGCTCCCTCTGTCAGCTCCAGCTCCCCATACAGGGACATCAGAGAAGCCTCCCACAAGGATGGTAAAACATCAAAACATCCGGACATCCTCTGGGCTATGTCTTTGCAGATGGCCACTTCTCTCACACCAGAAGAGACTTGCAGTTTCTCAAGTTGCTCCTGACACACACCCACAAAGGGAGACAAAAGAGTGTATTTTTTTCCAGAAAACACTCCTTTGCTCATAAAATATCCATGAAATAGATCTGTTTTGAACCAAAAGGCCACCATTTTTTTAAAAAAAAATCAGTGAATAAACTGAAAGCCAATGGTATAAGCATGTGTACCTGTCGCTGAAAGACAGTGGTATAACCATGTGTACCAAGTTCCACTGAACAGCAATGACAGATTGCTGTATGCCTTTTCTGAACATATTATAAAGTCATATTCCACAGAACTAAGATTTAAAATGCTTCAGGCCATTGTGTACTACTATAATTGGCAATCAGGGTAAGAAATTACGTGCCTATGTTTTGCTTGCCTTTACAGGAACATGAATGCAAACTCACCCATGAAATAGTGGAATTAATTGACAGAGAAGTCGATCTCATGATGAGGAAAGTGAAGGAATATAATTTGGAAGGACTCAGACAAAGGATATGTACATTATTTCTTCAGTATATTAAAACGCCATTTTTTAACCCAGAGGTTGCTAGACTTCTCAAGGTATTTCTATTACATGTATTAATTCTTTATAACAATGTAAGCTGTAAGTAAGTAAAATATCTCGCATTGACTAGCCTAGAGCCAATTGAATTGGTGGATAACAGAAACAAGAATTAAGATCATCCCTACTAATCACTCCCTATACATCTGATGCTCCAAGGACATACATGTGAAAATAGCAAAAGTCCACAAGAATTTTGGAACAGGTTATGGGGTATTTATAAAGAAAATATAAGGAATCTAAAGTCAAAAGCATCCAGTCCACAGTATTTCTGATTCCTATATATGGTATTGAAAGCTGGACAGTGAAAGAAGCTGACAGGAAAAGAATCTATTTATTTGAAATCTGATATTAGAGAAGAATTCTGTTGATAGCACGCACTGCCAAAAGACAAACAAATAGTCCCAAGAGCAAATCAAACCTGAACTCTCCCTAGAAGCCAAAATGACTAAGCTCAGACTGTCTACTTTGAATCATAACTTGAGATAAGATGACTTATTAGCAAATAATAATAATAATAATAATAATAATAATAGGTAAAGTAGAAGGCAGTAGGAAAGGGGGGATACTGTACAGCATTATGGGTGAATATGCTCAAATCAAAGAAGCCACAACCTGGGGTTTGCAGACCTAAGCAGGGCTTTACATATTAGAACCTCTTGAAGGTCTTTCAATCATAGGGTCACTATTAGTCAAAGCTTATTTAATGATCATTAAAAACACAGCATTAACATGTGAAACAAAATGGAATATTTGCAACTACGGCTGAATCTACACTGTCATATAATTCATTTCAGAATGTAGATTAACTGCATTGAACTCAGTTATATGAGTCTACACTGCCATGTAATCCAGTTCAATGCAGTTCACTGGATCCAGTCTGAGTTACCAAGAAATGTGAATGCATTCAATCACATTAAAAGGAAAGGCTTTTCCTTATGCCATTAGATGGTTCTCTGACTTGGTTCTGTTTATACTATCTGTTTATACTATTTGAGCCCCTGGTGGTGCAATGGGCTAAACCCTTGTGCTGGCAGGACTGCTGTTTGAATCCGGGAAGTGGGGTAAGCTCCCATCTACCAGCTCCAGCTGAGAAAGGCCACCTATAGGATGGTAAAACATCTGGGCATCCCCTGGACAACATCCTTGCAGATGGACAATTCTCTCACACCAGAAGTGACTTGAAGTTTTTCAAGTAATTCCTGACATAAAAAAAAGGGGAAACACAGTTAAGCCACTAGCATTGATGATGTTATTTTTATAAGGAACATTCATTAAAGATTTCTCCTGACCCACTTCCTGTGAGCTGAGAGCAATGAAACTTGGCACAGTTATTAGTCCTTCTCTACATAGGTGCCATCTAGGGACACACTTTTCTCCCATCTTTTTAAGCAACTGTAAAAACCTTGCTTGTAGAAGTCAACAGGTTGCTCCAAAAGCCACGTTGTGACTTCGGAAATCAGAGTTTCATCATCTGACAAATGCTTGTCCTTCAAAATAACTTCATTGTTAGAAAGAGGTGGATGTCTGATGGTACGAGGTCAGGCGAATAAGGGAGATGCAGTTGAATTTCAAAGCCACAGGAGCATGCTTCAATTTTGCCAAGATATGAGTTGTGAACTGGTGCATTGTATTGCAGAAGGCGGACACCTTTGGTGAGCATGTCACAGCTCTTGGTTTTGATGGCCTCCTGCAATTTCTGCAGCAATGTAGCATAGTATGCTCCAGTGATCATGATACCCTTTGCTAGGAAATCCATCAATACTATTCTGTGCTGGTCCCAAAATACTATGAGCATGACTGTGCCTGCTGAGAGTTGGGCACGTGCCTTCTTTGGAGGTGGTGAGTCATGATGTTTCTATTGCATCAACTGAACTTTAGTCTCAGGATCATAGTGATGGACCGAGATTTCATCCTTTGTGACCAGTCTGTTGAAAAAGTCCTCCTAGTTTCCATGGCGCATTGTCAATAGAACCTGTGAGACTTTGATTCAATCCTTCTTCTGGAAAGGTGTGAGCTCCCGGGAGACTCAGCAAGTGGATACCTTATGCATGTGAAGATGGTCTTGGATGTTTTGTTTCACAGACCCCACACTAATCTTAACCTTTTGGGCTAGGTGACAAATGGTTACATGGTGATTTTCCAAAATGGCGGCCTCCATTTGCTGGATGACGTGTTCATCCATAGAAGAGTGAGGTCGCCCTGGAATTTGAGCTGTTTGCACCAAAGTCCAACCACATTTGAATTGACAATGCCAGTTCTTGACTACATCATATGTTAGGGAATCATCAACATAAACCTCTTTCATCTCATCTAACGTCTCTTTGGTGTGTGGCCTTTCAAGTAAAGGAACATGATAACTGCTCTATATTCCACTGGGTTCATTTTCAAACCTTACACCACTTCAGCACCTGAAGACCGTTATCAGTTCAGAGTTGTAAATTGGCACATAACCTATAGAAACTTATATCATTACACATGTGCAGTTTCAGTGTCCTATGATAGAAAGAAGTGGGTCAGGGACAATCTTTAATGAATACCCCTTGTAAAATGTAGTTTAAGGGAATATTTATACCTATTGAACTTGTATTCACATACCAACTTGAAAAATCTGTCCATAATACTGTAAAATGTGTGGGAAGAGATTGCATTTCACAGATGACATGCTGCGCTTCAACGGAATTCTTTTGTAGATATTTATTTCTTCAATTATCAAAGGTCACTATGTATACAGTTATCAGCAAAAACTTTAGAACAGGTTGAATGAGTTTTTAATTGAGGTTGGGTTTAAGGTTGACATTGAGATCCTGACTATTGTAAGCCAGTATAACCTGATTGGGCTTTTAACACAGTTTTATCTTTCTGACATTTAGTAAAAAATTCAGTGTCTTTGAGGCCCTTAAATATTAGAACATTGCATTTTCCCTAGCTGTGATATAGAATTGTCTTTCATTACCTAGATACCTTGGTATGGTCAAATGTGCAGCTGGCCCTTTTTCTTGTCTAAATACATTGCTTGTTGCTTTCAGAGGAAACAGATCCATACGTCCAATTGAATATATACACACTCTGGAAACTGGATGGCCATTGCTGGTGGATACATATCTTTGGATGAATGGAAGTATGGAAATATTTAATATGTAGCATGTAGATAATCCCATGATGACGAATAGCGTATCTGTTTTTCTTTGCAGGTTCCTCCTGATCCAATGAAGCTTTATCACAACATCCATTTTTGCCTTGGTTGCAAAAGATACCTGCCTTCTACTGATTTTGCAATATCTGCTAGTTCACAAACTGTTGGCCGGTGTCGTTTGTGTTGCAAGCTGGATAATCAGGCTCGCAAGAGGGAAGCCTTTTTGAAATATAAGCGAATGCTTTTGAGGCTCCGAGATTCTGAAGTGAAATATAATGATAATGCTAAGATTGCTTTCATAATACAGGTAAGCAGACAACAGTGTTTGATAGCATTCCATGACGATACCTAGTAGACTATGAAATATTTGATAAAAGGTTCATTTTGGGAGCATCTGTCTGTCTGTCTATCTTTCTCTCTGTGTGTGTGTGTATTGTTTGAAACAAGGAGAGTTTGTTAGAATTTAAATAAACATAATGGTGGGGCACTTCCTGCTCAACCTTTTAAATTGCACCTTTTGTATTTTGTACAACGCTACATATGTAGATTTACTTAGTCTCAAATATAAAAGGCCTTCACAAATTTTTGCTGTGCTACTTTCAACCTCATCAGATGAGGGCAGAATTGGCAGAATGTGCAATTTGCCTTCTTCTTTATGAAGGAGCCCACTGGCTCCCATTCCACTATGCACTGCAACCTGCACCGGGGCTCCATCATAAAGGAGAAGGCAAACTGGTGCTTTTCGTATTGCCTTGGATCACCGGGGGAAAGCTGGGTGGTAGATGCTTCCCCCCCATAGGATGGAGATGTAGGTGAGTCGGGCAATGCAGGGCAATGAGCACTGCCAGAATTGCCATGTGTGAAGAGATCCTTAGAATAATACTACAACATGGTATGAGAACTGACAGATCCTACAAGATAGCAAGGCTTTGATTATAGTCCTGGTAATAAACTATGAGTCTGATATGTGCCTAAGTTCAAAGTGGTTAGTCAGAAGAGGGTTCGTTACACATTCCAACCAAAAAAGGTTTCTTAGTGTTTTGGTTATTAGGCCAGTTCCTAGGGTTGTTTGGGACACTAATTCAGAAAATGGAATTGGATGGACAGAATCAGCTTTAGTTACTTAAATATGGTTATCTTGATTTTCTATGGATGAGCAGATGAAGAGTGGTAGATCAAAAGCTAGAGCTGATAGGGGGAAACTTGTGCCATTTTTGGAATAAGCAGGTCAAATATACTCAGGACTAACATTTGAGGCATCCAAATGTGTGTTGGCCAGTGTTACTAGCCAAAGAACACACTCAATGACATAGAATACTTGTCGTCTTCATCAGCAGAGGGCTGCCCATGCTTCAATATCCATTCCCACCAACAGAATATGATGTGCCTATCCCAAGCTTTTCCTTTATTCAAATTTAATAGGCCTGGAATTTAATAAGCCTATTAAATTCCAAATTTAATAGGCTTGGAATACAAAATAGGTTGCATTCCTACAGGATACACTATATACTCATGTATACGTCTAGACATTTTAGTATTTTTAAAAAGCAACTCAAAGAACCTAGATTGACTTATCCATAGGTTAAGGTGAGTGCTGCGTCTTAACTCTTATAAAAAAAGGAATCATTGACTTATCTGAGTAGAGAGTGGCAAAAAGCAAGAGCTTAGTCATCAAAAGAGATTCTGAAGAAGCACTTCCCCCTCTGTTATTTCTGCCATGGCCCACTTTGACCTTTTTTTAATGCTGGAGTGGTGGCCAGAGGTAACTTGACCTCCTAAAGATCCATTGGCTCTTAGATTTCTCTGAGGAATGATCCTTGACTTATCCATGGATCATATCAAAATACATGATTTTGCCCCCAAAATCTTCCTTAGACTTATACATGAGATTGATTTATACATGAGTATATATGATAATTAATAAAACACTTCCTATAAGAAGCAATTAACTTGCCAGAGAGAAATGTCATGTCCCATCTTTGTTTTTTAAAAACATCTATCATGGATTTAGGGTCCTCTAGAAGCAAGAACATTTTCTAGCAGCAAGTTGATAATCAGATGTTCTGCCAAGAGAAGATGCCAAATTTCTATCTGCAGAATGATCCTAAAATAAATGTTTTAAAGCTTGCATTTTAGCCACATGTATCTTGGAATATAATTAAACTGATTGTGTGTTATCACTGCAGAGAGGCAGATTAGGTTCTTCAGTAGCATTTAAATCTCTGATTAAAAGTCCAGAAGGTCATATGTGTTTACACTACTATCCTTTCAAAGTGTGGCTAAATACCAGTATTATAGAGTGATGATTTTTTAAAAGCATTAATTATTTTGTTTTCCTTGACTGGATTTTTTTCATTTGCAGCAACAAGACCTGCACTACATGATTGAACATTTCTGGGGTTCTCAATCAGCTCTTAGTGCTGCTGATGATCTCTATGATCTGGTCATGGCTCGATGGGATAAGTATCAGGAATGGTCTCCCTGGAACTGTATCCTCCTCAGAAATATAGAAGCTGAAGCCCATCTCAGACTGAAAAGTTTGGAAAAGGTACAGCTGTTGATGAAATACCCAGAAGTTCAAAATATGCTCAGTGTTGAGTAAATTCTGCTTAGTTTTATATCTCTGTAGCCCATTGAAATGAAATACTTCCATGTGGTCTTTAGTATTTAAAACTTTCCCCCCTCTCTTGACATTTGCTTTATATCTAGCCTGTGTGCATTTTCGTAACATGAGGGATGGGAGATAAGAATGTTTATTCTCTTAAATGTCTAATTTGTAACCTTTGCCACGTCCACATAATATTTTGCTCATTTCCATTCCATTACTACTTGACCTAGTCATGTCTGATATATTCTTCACAGCATTCTTCTGGAAAGTTGCCTTTCAAAGAGTGCTACAAGACCATTGTTTGCTTGAAAGCCTTTCCCCTGATTCAAAATCTGATGTGAATCTGATGTTCACATAACACAATAGGCTTTTTCCCGTACCTACATACTTAAGGTGCATCTATACTGTAGAATTAATGCAATTTGACACCACTGTAACTGCCATGACTCAATGCTATGGAATCATAGGATTTGTAGTTTGGTGAGACACCCACACTCTTTGACAGAAGACGCTAAAGACCTTGTATAGCTATAACTCTCATGATTCAGTTGGATTGTGCCATGGCAGTTAAAGTGACATCAAATTGCATTAATTCTACAGTGTAGATGCACCCTTAGAAGTAGTCTTAAAATGGAGATGAAACATATTTTTATTAACTGCACACTGGGCTCAACCAGACTAGCCAAATATGACAGGGCATATATTCAAGGAGCATTCCTCTTGCTCTGCTGTAGTTCCTAGTAATTCCCACCAATTTCCACAACTTTTTATTTCACTTTGTAGTTGAATGCATCACTTTTTTCTGATCCTTATACATTTTGAATTCTATATTCACAAATGCAGCCATTGGTGTAGTTTATGTTATTTTATTCTTGGGCAGCATGCAGGAAGGTGGGCTGGAGGGTTAAAGCCTTGCCAACATGACAGTTTTCATGTTCCATTGTAAATCTGTTGGTCACCTGTGGGAGATTTTCTATAGTTTTGGAAGAGTTAGCTCAGAGTTTCTCAAAATGTGCTTCGCGGAGCCCTTGAGACTCTGTGAAGTATACTGATGAGCTCAGTGCTTCCCTCCTCCTCCCTCTTCCCAAGCTTTCCTTCCTCTTTCCTGCTCCTCCCGCTCCCCTGCCTCCCTTGCTGCCAAACCCCTTTTCCCCTTGTCTTCCTTGCCACCCAGAACCTTTCCCCCTCACCTTGTTTGCTTCCAAAACACTGTTTCCCCACCACCACCACCACCATTGAAGGGGTGCTTTGATTGTGCTTTTCCTACATGTCAGAAGGGAGTTGAACTGGATGGCCCCTGGGGTTTCTGCTACTACTATTATTATTATTATTATTATTATTATTATTATTATTATTATTATTATTATTATTAGAAACACAACAAGATGGGTCCACAGCAAACAAGATCACATTCCTGGCTGTTGTATTGGATCACACGTCGGACACTTCCCAAGTGTTTAGGGCTCTGTGATGTATCGGCGAATAATGCATGCTGATCCCAGTAAGGTGGCCTTTTGCAGCTGGCAGATGGTTATCTTGTCAGCACCGATTGTGTTTAAGTGCAGGCCAAGGTCTTTAGGCACTGCACCCAGTGTGCTGATCACCACTGGGACCACCTTTACTGGCTTGTCCCAGAGTCTTTGCAGTTTGATCTTTAAATCCTCCTGTCATGTCAGCTTTTCTAATTGTTTCTCTTCAATCCTACTGTCGACTGGGATTGCAACATTAACAATCCATAGGAGTATTGTGCTCCAAAACTCTGTCTGTCTGAATTCGGAATTCCCAGAGTAGTTTGATGTGTTCATTTTCTGTAACTTTTTCAGGCTTGTGATCCCACCAGTTCTTTGTTGCAGGCAGATGGTATTTGTGGCACAAGTTCCAATTTTTATTATTATTATTATTATTATTATTATTATTATTATTATTATTATTATTATTACAAAGGCTGAGTGCCCCTCTATTGGGAGTGCTTTGATTGTGCTTTTCCTGCATGACAGAAGGGGGTTGGACTAGATATCCCCAGGAGTCTTCCACTGAAATACTGTTACATTTATAAACCTTTCTTGGGACTCCACATGAAACTTTTGCTTCCAAAAGTGCTCAGCGGCTGAAAAGTTTGAGAACCACTGAGTTATCTAGTGCAACTTTGTAAACAGAAAGACAAGGGGAAGGCATTACAGTTAGGGAGTAAATGTACATCATCTTTGATTTCAAGATAATCTAAAGCTATGTTTCTACAGCCTGCCTGCTGACTGTGCTTCATTTCCCCCTTGACCAATATATCTCTAGGGAAATATCTCTTTTCCCACAGAGAAGGAGAATGAGAAAGCGAGAGATGTTAAAAATATCTCTAGAATATTATTACTAATTCTGTGAGCTGCTATGGAGGCATTGCTGTGTTCAACCTGCACTCTTTTCCCCACTTTATCTTTAAATGTGTTTCCACTTTGCAATCTTCAAATATCCTCCTTTGATTTCTCTCCCAATATCTCCTCTCAATATATTTTAAAATTCATTTTCTTCCTTGGAGTATTGGTGCTAAAGTAGTAAATTGTAGTGGTGCTGTATTTTTTCCCCTTAGAATTAGATCACTCATACCCACAGTCATTCCCAATTTGAACTAAGGCAGGCTCTACACTGTAGAATCAATGTAGTTTGACATCACTGGAACAGCCGTTCTATGGAGTCCTGGTGTTTGTAGTTTGCTTTGGTACCAGCATTCTTTGGCAGAGGAAGCGAAAGACCTTGTAAAACTACAACGTTTATGATTCCATTGCCGTGGCAGTTCAAGTGGTGTCAAACTGCATTAATTCTACCGTATAGATGAATCCTGAGACATTGGTAGAGATTGACCAAGTAGACAGTCTGTATGTGTGTGTGTTCAATAGTGGGGAGGTTTTTTGGAAGAAACAAATGCAGAAATAGCACCATTAGGGTTTGTCACTTTAGAATTACAATATACATTCCGAGACACTTAAAAATAGTAAAAAGGCAGAGAGGAAGTAACAGAAGAAAATTACATGAGGATTGTAGTACATCTGGGTACTGGACATCCCCAGTTGCAATATTTTGCAACTTACATAAAAAGCAAGGTACCCTTCAAGTGAACCCATTATACCAACTTTATGTTGATTTTTTTAAAAGTCAGGAGAACTTTTGGACAGGTAAGTGGTGTGGCATAATGTAAAATAAACCACGTGTAGTTCACGTTTGATCAGCCCACACACTGCCTTGCTAGAGAAAGAAAGTATGTCATGCAGGTGAACAGTAAAGAACAAGTAGTTTACTCTTCGTAGTTCAAAACAACATATGTACAATGTGATTGGTTATATCAACTTACATCATGTCCTTTTATGAGAGATTTAAAATGGTTTTTCTTTGTCCATGTAGAATCATAGAATCATAGAATCAAAGAGTTGGAAGAGACCTCAATGGGCCATCCAGTCCAACCCCCTGCCAAGAAGCAGGAATATTGCATTCAAATCACCCCTGACAAATGGCCATCCAGCCTCTGCTTAAAAGCTTCCAAAGAAGGAGCCTCCACCACACTCCGGGGCAGAGAGTTCCACTGCTGAACGGCTCTCACAGTCAGGAAGTTCTTCCTAATGTTCAGATGGAATCTCCTCTCTTGTAGTTTGAAGCCATTGTTCCACGTCCTAGTCTCCAAGGAAGCAGAAAACAAGCTTGCTCCCTCCTCCCTGTGGCTTCCTCTCACATATTTATACATGGCTATACATGGATAAACTTCTTACAGTAACTCATGAAGCAAGAGTACACTCCAAACTTTGTCTTTCTCTGCTTCTCTCTTCTCTCTCTGCACCTTCATAGCTCAAGCCTGAACAAAAATGTAACAGTATCCAAAAGTCCCAGGCTCAGCCATCTCCCTGGGCATTGCCCATCCAATCAGCTTCATGCATCTTATTTTACAGTTCACAGACACACACACACACACACACAGATTCCTTGCATGCTCCAACAAGTGGCACAGAACATCCAGAAACAACATTAAACAGTTCAGCCCAAATCATCACAAATCACCAATCTGGACTTGTCCACTGATGATCTAATCCATCAAATCTATACTCAGATGTTAATCTGAAAGGAACGTGCCTTTGAGTCAAAGTGCAACTTCACTTAACCTTTTTCGCTATCTTGTACCTGTTAAGATCTGGAGCAACTTATTGTGAACGTTTGTGTAATTCTGTTTCAATGAATTATCATAGAGGGATGCCTTATTGAAATACAGAAGAAATAATTGTTTTGTACTTTTAAAAATCGTCTCATTAGAATTCAATGTTTGGAAAATTTGGAAAATTACAGACAGCCAATCCAAAGAGACTGAATCCTCTAATTGTATTTCATGTACTAATGTTGCTTTCCCCTCCTCTCCTTTTTCAGGCTTATGAGCCAGCATTTATTCACAGGATAAAACACAAACATATGCTTGCAAGGAACTATTTCTCCCAATTTCCAGAGCTGGCAGGTGCTCTGCATAAAGATGACAAACCAACCATCTCAGAAGATCTTTTAGTAACAAAACCTTTAACACCTGGGCCATCAAAGTAATGCATTCTAGATCTGGAAGCATTTTCACGGATTTATTGCTTGAATAACCAATCTGGCATCGAGATAAATATTCCTGTTATCTGCTTTAGTTGTCTGTAATTGTTTGATTGTATACTAATAAACACAAAACTGTTTTAAGATTATACATTGATCACCAAATTGCTATTGTTATGCTGTTCTTTTCTCTGAAAATTAAACCTATTTGTAATCCAATCTCAATTTTTCTTTTGAAACAAAACAAACTTTTGTTTTGTAGGAAAAGAATTACATATTCTCTTACTTGGAATTCTCTTTTTAATTAGAATTTCTATGAGATATCTAGGCTATACTGTATATGGTAATAGTCATTAGTAGAAATTAAGGAAGGGGTATGATGAACACCTTTATTAAAGGGGAGTGTGTTTGGGGGGCAGAGAGATCACTACTAAAATTTAAAATTATTTCCACTTTCCCCTTTTATAATAATAATGCTGATCAATACCACATCTCAGAAAATAGGTAGTACACAAACTGAAAATAATCTTTATTTCATAAAATTCAAATATTTGTCTTCCATGGTTTTTTTTGTTATACAGGCTGTCCTCAAGACAGGATCTGTAGATTTGTTCTTAAGTTGAGTTTGTATGTAAGTCAGAACAGGTACATTTTAAAACTGTAACTCCCACCATTTGCAAGTTTTGGAGAGCAAAGGTTAACATCCCTATGGTATTTATTTTGATGTCTGTGCCCATGTTCAGAAGATTTCACCTCACTTTCTGTTCCTGTGGTAATTGGATTTTGAAAAATTTGGTTTGTTGATGAAACAAGGATTGGTGATAAAGCTTCAATTAAGACACCTTTTCCCCATGACAACTCTTTTGGGAGTGAATTACCCTTCCAAGGGATAGATTTCTCTTGCCTCAGCCCCGTTCTTAACTATGAGTCATTTGTAAGTTGGATGTTTATAACTCAGGGACTACTTGTACATATATTAACAAAAATCCAAAGGCAATTACATCATGTATATCGATTTGCAGTTTCATTTTGTAATCTGGAAATAAGACTTTAGAATCGCCAAATGCTTAGAAAATGTTGACTGTTTATCCATAGCTAATATATACTTTATTTATATTTATATTTTGCTCTATCTCCCCGAGGGGACTCAGGGCAAATTATAATACACATATACGGCAAACTTGCAATGCCATTATACAATTAACAAAGACCGACAGTACATAAACAGAGGTAAAGGCTTCCCACCTTTTTCCATCTCCGGCGTCTGGAGGCTGTGCTGCACTCCAGCCATGGGGAGGTGCTGCCGCTCCGTCTTCCATGCTTTTTATTATTTCGTATCAAAAGCATTGCATAAATCAGTATAAATCTTCCATGCTGAGGAGGTTTGTTGTCCTTAGACATTCTCCTGATTGAATTGCCGGCATGTCCGCATGGGCACCTTTTATTATCTCCCCACCAAAGCAGTACCTGTTTATCTGCTCACATTGCTATTTTCGAACTGCTAGGTGAGCAGAAGCCGGTTTGATGGCGGGAGCTCACCCCAACCCAGGCTTGAACTGTCGACCTTTTGATCGGCAAGATTTTCTGAAGGTAGCAGTTTAGCCTGCTGTGCTAAAGCCTGGCCCTATCTAATGCCATAGACCAGTTATATTTGCCTTCCAGTGTATCACTTAAAATCTGGGATAAATTATCGATACAGATTCAGGATATAACAAATGTGGCCTTGATTAAGGAGGGGATCTACATATGCACATACATATAGGGTAATAATTTCACCCCATCCCTTGCACAAATTCAGTTTATTTACATTGTTGACAAAAGGTACAGTAGTTCTACAAGTTTATGCATTATAAGTCCAGTGTTAACAGATTTTTTAAAAAAGAAACAATAGTTGATTGTATAGTCCATAAGTTGAGCATCCATTATCCAGAATTCCAAAATACTCAGAAAAACAAAATTGTTCATTCGGGTGGCAGAGGTAGTGACACATTTGTTTTTTTAATTGTTTCATGAACAAAATTATTAAATATATTGTATAAAATTGCTTTTGGGCTATGCATATAAGGTGTCCAAGAAACGTAAATGAATTTGGGGCTTAAATTCTGGTCCCATCTCCAAGATATCTCATTAGGTAAAGGTAAATACTTTTATATTTTTATTAAGGCCAATGAAATGTCACATAAAAGGAAGTTTTCTTGAGTCTTTAAGAACTTTTCACCAAGTTCAGTTGTACAAAAAACTAAAGGATTGAGGAAGGATGGTGAGAAGTTTCAACACAAACACATTTTATATCCATGCAGTTTGCAGTTTAATTTATTTCTAAAAGAGAAATTAAAACTTGAAGGTCCTATGGCCACTCCATTTCAGTAATACAATGCTGGTTAGCTGGCAGTCAGAGAAATGTAGTTGCCACAGTTCGTCCCAAACTAGATGCTGCTGCTCAAAAAAAGTCACTGCATTTTGCAATGTTATTTGGTATGCTTACTGTCAACAACTTCAGGTTTTGAGATACACCATATTCATAGAATATAAATCCCAATGCTGTTGCCAAAGCACACTTCACAGGCTTTGCTGATTCCAAGTGGGGGTATTTCTAAATTGTGTTCTGTTCGTTCTGGGCCTTTTATCCCTTTGTTTCAGCTGAAGGTTTAGCAGTCAAACTGGTGTGCACAATTGACTGTCAGCACTGTTGAATCTTGTACTGGAAGTATCCCTTTTCAGTTATTCTTCAAGCTGGAAGAAGCATGTAAATCCCACACCTTACTTTTACCAATCCTCTCTATTCTGTATTTGGAGGGAAATAACTTTCTGAATGGGAGAACCTCTTCTGTACTTCACTATGGGGAAGCCTCATTTTCAAAGTCACCCTCCACAACAAGCTTCTAAGTGCATCAAAATACAAAGCACATTGTGATAATACATTTATGAAGCAAACTTGAAGGTCTACAAGTAATCATACAGTACGAGCCTCATATACAAGACTAGCCCTCCGCCCCGGTGGATACCTGAAACCATGGATAATAACAAACTCTATATTTTGACTCTGTTTGAGTTGAAGGCATACTGGAGAATGGTGCAGGAAGACTGGGAGAGGTCTACAAACACTTCTGAGAGTGGTTTTTTTAAAAGTATGGCTAAAATAAAACTATGGATATTCATTTGTAGGTATGGGGTTCCTACTATAGTAGTATAGCTTTGATGCCCTCATTAAGAAACATGGTTAAAAAGAACCATGCAGTGGAACAAATTGACATTATTAGAGACACAAGTATACAATTGACTTACTTGAGATGCTACAAGGGATCGCTATAGACAGAAAATTCAGGTCTCTCCCCCTCCCACTCCCACCAAAAAGGAAGAGAAGAAGTCTGTGGAATGATTTGGGGGAAAGGCAATAAACAAGCAGCCACAAGCCACAAAGTATCACCCAGTTTATCTGGCAGTGGGGGCTCATATAATCCAATTTAAAGCAGATAATCTGGGATCAGATCCTGGGATATAGGGCACTATGGAAGGGGCTGGTGTCACCATTTGAGATCTGTGCCTCTCTCCTATATTGGACTTTTAACTCCCGTGTGAATAGAGGATCATAGAAATTACAAATGCCTGAATAGGTTGAGTCCTTTTGTTTAATTTGCAGAATTCGTTTAATTTGATGCAGCTAAGTCGTAGGAAAGCCCAAATCCTGCCCCTAGCTCAAGTGGCCCAGAATACATAGGATGGCAGTCCCCTGTTGCCCCTCATGTTGTGGCAGTCCCCAGTCATGACATGGCACCTGCCTTATTCCCAGAGCTCTGCCTAACATCTCACTGAACATCAAGGAAAGGTACCATGTTACATCTGGAGACAATCCTGACATGGGAGGGAGGGGACATCTGATGACTGTCAAACCGTGTTTGGTAGTGCTGTGCAGTAGGAACTCTCTCCCTTCTGCAAGGCGGCAATGGAATCCCTGTGCAGATTCCATGTGGACCCCATCTGGTATCTGGTAACCCCGGATGAGAGCCACATTGTCAATGTAGAAGGCCCCTTTGTATAAAACTACTGTGATTCCATAGCATTAAGCATTGCAATTCAGGTGGTATCAAACTGCATTAATTCTACAGTGTAATTGCACCCGAAGACCACTTCATAATTTATGTTTCAACAGAGAGGTTGAATGCCTCCCCCTCTCCCCTCCAGTTATGTACTGTGATTTGAGTTAAGTGGACTATAAAAACAGGAGTCAGGATGAAATATTCCCGCTTTGGAATCTCCTTATATCTTAATGGCTGAGTGATGAGTACCATTAAGTGTGACTCATATGTAGACCGATGCATGGCTGCATTTTAATTATCAAATGTTCAGCACAGAACTGGAAAGCACTTAAATGAAATTCTACATTCATGAAAATACACGTAGCCTGAAGACTATGAAAAATACTTCTGAAACACAAAATGCCAGTAATTTCATACTTTTGAATTAATTTTATAATGAAAAACGTTCAAGCTAAATTTTATTGTGGAACATTAAAATGGAATCGTGTTCTTCCATCTTTCATTTAAAGGTGTTTCCTTAATATGAGAGCCTGTATTTTCTATTGCTCACCTTCTCAAAATTATCGCATAAATTTCCCGTTATGGCAACAACATCCCTTTAGTCCAGATTTAGAGATCCAAATTTATTCCTGTGCTACATGAATATGGTGTTGACAGGCTTTCACCAACAAAATAATTTACATCCAATATGTAAACATTCATAAAGCTGAAGAATATATTTTGATACCTAAAGAGAGTATTTGTAAAACCTCTTGTCCAAAAATGTTTGAAGTTCATTAACTACTACCTCACTTACATTTCACTCTTCACCTCTGAAAAAAGTCATCACAGATGCCAGATCTTTTAAAAAAGAAATTCCTAGTGTTTCCTATGTATTAGTTCCTTACTATTTCTAGTTTTACTAATTTTACTTTACTATTTCTAGTTTTCTTTGTAGAGGGTTTTCATCACATTCAATCATATAAGTCATCACATGTAACTGTTAAGTAGTACAACCAATAGATTTAGCATCACAGTGAAAACTTGTTGTGTAACTTCAAATTGGTTCTAACTTGCGGGGATCTTAAGGCAAACCTATCTTAGGGGTGGTTTGTTCAGAATGGGTTTGTTTT